TTCATACACAGTAACCTCTGTTGGCAAAAACGCTGCAGTACAGCATAGTACAGAGCCCAATCCTTACAAGTAGGTCATGGGGGGGTGGGGACGAGGGGGTGCAGCCCATCTGGAGCAGTGCATTCTGAGTAGTTGACTGCAGATGAAGGGAAGGCGGCGAGAGGATGAGCGCGCTGTACTTAAAAACACCCTTGCCAGCTCCGTATCTTTTTCCTTTGCATTTTCTTTTGGTCTCTTGAACCCTGATTGATCTCACGGAGAAACATCCTGCCAAGCCACTTCACCCCCTCACAGGGACGGAGCACGATCAAGTAACGCAAATCAAAGTGTAGAAGGTATGCATTTGTGAAAATGTGCAAATACACACGAGGTGCAGAGTATATTACCTGAGCAGACCTCGTGGTAATTGGGGTTGGGTGTAAAGCCGCCGGCGTAGCCCACTTGTGTGGAGAAGACTCTCGAAAGCTGCCAGAAAAGTCTCTCTGCTCCCCAGAAACAGCCCATACCTGGTCATAAAGACAGCATGCAAACACACACAGTACTGGTGCTTCTGTGCTACCATTCCATTCATAGAGAGGCCAACGTTTTACCAAAATGTGTCATTACCACAAAGTGGTAACAGAGGATTCCATATTGGGATTATTTTCATTTCAAAAATGCGTGATTGTGCACTCTCACCAAACATGATGGTCTCCATTCCTACTGGAAAAGGTTCCACAGTGGGATTCCCATTGACTGCATGCTTGTCTGTGAAGGGAAACAGTGTGCAAATGTGAAATTAGATCATAAAACTGTATTTCAACAGTACAAATTACAGTATGCGAGTAAAGAGGCCCATTAGTGGCTTCAACTAGGGCCTGATAGGTCTGCACTTTGTTACAGGCTGACTGACCCAGGCCACAGGATCAGAGGCTTTTGTGCTGGAAGACATTGAAGTGATTACACAGCTTTGACCGCCATTCTATCCCTGCTGCCCTCTCCTCAATACCCACAATTAAACACAATCATGCAATAATTTTCTGATCTTGTCCCTTACTCCACTGCATATCTTTGAATGTGAGTGTATTAAGTGCTAGGCTTGGCACCATTGGGTGTCCACAAAGTGAACCAAAGACGACACTTCAGGGGCACGCACTTGTATAACCTCATGAGCGGGGAAGGGCCCCGCAAGCACACCCAGTGCTGTCCTAATCTTCGTCATGTTATAAATACCGCCTAAGTAAAACAAACTGGAGTGCTGAGAGGTGGCAGGGGGGTGGCACTCTACTGTGTTGCGTGGAATTAAGAGCGCTAAAAAGGAAGTGTGTGTGCGTGTGTGTATGCATGTCTGTGTATCCCACAGATGTGTGAGGAGGATTAGGGTTTAAGAAGACTGAGGTGACTTAGCGTGCAAATCTCCACTAAGCAAGGCTGGTTTGTACTGCAACCACTAATATTAGTCTACAGATAAACAGGCCACCGGGTACACTAAGAGCTTAGAGCAAGCATCCATTGTTGGTATGTGCCTAAGTTCAAAGTTCAATGAGTGATTGCTCTCTGGCCGCTCAGAAATACGATGTGTGACATTGACCTGAATACAAACAATCTCTAATCTGATACAGTAATAATAGTTCATTTCCCAGATAGGCCTGGGATAATCTCTGGCCGAAGATTAGTTACCTACAGTTTATTATAGACTGAATTATTACTGTGAAGCCAGATAGTATGGAGGCATTGATAAGAAACATGCCTCAACCCTAGAGATTGACACGTGTTTTGAAGAATACAGGAAGCAAAAGAAGAACCACTTCACTTGAGCTGATCCCACCTGTCTTGGCGTGCCACCTAAAGGGCACTTTTTAATTATTATACAAACATGTTTGGTTTTCTCTGCAGTAACAGATTGCACAAGCATAAAGGACTCCTGAAATGTCACAGAGGCCTGGCTGCCTTAAGGCAGTCCCTCCCTGCCCTCCTGTTGTGTGACAGTTCTGTCTTTTAGCGGCAGATTGTTTGGCACTGCCAGGTCATGTTTACCGGCACAGTTAGTTGCAATCAAAGTATATCTGTGTCAGCGACCGTGCTGGCTAAATATTATCAGTCCACGGGGGTGACTCAAGGTGGTGGGAGGACAGGAAAAATCTCCATCCTTCTTCTGTGAATTTGCCTCATCTCCATCCTCTGCTCACTCTCACCCTCTTGTCCTGTGTTTCTGGCCACAGAGATAAAAAGTACTAAAGTTGCCAAATGACAGAGAGAGAAAATGAGAGAGTGAGAGAGAGACAAGTGTGCGATAGAGGAGGAGGAGTGGGAGGAGGAGAGAGCCTTCTGCCAAAACAATAAAAGGAGTAAATAGCCAGTGAGAAGCAACAGATGAGGGTAGCAGAAAGGCGGTGAAGGATTCTTTTGGCTTTCAGACCACCATGCCTTCGGGCACTATATAAAAAGACCAAGCACTTCATCCAAGAGAGAACACAGAGAAAACAAACAAGCAAACAAATAAACAAACAAAAAAAGAGAGAGGTAAAAATGAAGACAGCCAAGAACACGCCGACACAGCACTGTCCAGAAAAAGCCAACTGTGAGCCAAACCTCCCCGCCCTCTCGTCTTCTCAGCTGCTCTCCATCTTCCCTTCACACTCTCTTCCTCGCACCACCTTCCCATCATCCCTCGCTCTCTCCTCTTACAAACACGCGCACAACCGCCTGCACGCACGCAATCAGCCGCACAAATCACTCGCACACCAACCTCTGCTGTGGGTATTTCTCCCATGGAGCAGCTGGCAGAGGTCCAGGTGGTGCCAGGCAAGCTCCTTTCACTGTGCCTAGCCCAGCATTCCCCCCTGCCAGCCCAGCGCCCACACCCCATTCTGCCAGAATTACCCCACCTAACACACACAGGCACAGAGAAAGAACTGGCTGAATACCCTCACTACGCTGCCTCACTACGCCAGGAAAAGAAAGAACTGAGGACGACAAAAAACAAGCAGGGAGGGTGACTGACTGAGCTTACAAAAGGAAGAAAACAGGCTGAATATGGGGGAAGGATTCATGAAAAGGATTTTTTTCCAACTTGGATGAGATATGGGCGTAATTTCTTTTGTGCGCCTTTGTTTGAGGATATCTGAAAAACGCAGTGCACGCTATACAGTACAGCGGGACTGAAGCGGAATACTTTGGTCACCTTTTGTTGCTTTTAGCATGGTGGCTGTAGGTGGCTGGACCTGAACCAAAACATCGGACCCGGTGCCCTGCCACTTTGCTTGTATCGTGATTACCATAAGTGAAGGGCACAACAACCTATCTGTTGCTTTGCGGATAATAAACTCCAGTTTGACTTGTTTCGGCAGGTATTTAGTCTTTGTTACTCTTCGAGTCTACCCGTTGTCCCGTGTTTCTCACCCGTAAAACTGAAGTCCAAGCGCTGCTGCCCCCTCATGCAGAGACATGGGAGAGGTTCTATCCCTGGGTGCCAAAACTGGTAACGGAAAGGTTGATTTCCAGGCTGCTCTGTTTATTTCCTTCCAAAAATCCATTCTCTCTCTCTTTCTCTTTCCCTCTCTCTCTCTCTCTCTTCCTCTTCCCTCCCTCTCGCTATTCCTCTTTCTAGCTTCACACAGGTTGGCAGAAAGTCAGGCACGAGTCGTCGTCGGAGGCTGACGCTTTATACTGGTGCCAACTACCCTCTGTTGTATGGGAGGATGGGTAGGGGTGAGAAAGAGTGGGGCAAAAGAGGGGAGGGGAGGAAAGCGACAAGACTGGTGGGAGGTGGTCGATTTTTAAAAAACAGTAAGAAGTAAAGAAAAATGATGCTGCTGTGGCCTTAAAACAATCAACCCAACTTGGTGTTGTGGCACATGCATACATTTGAGGCTGCCTCTGTTCAGGGTGGGAAAACTTGTCTAGACTCTAAAAGTACAACTTTGAAACCATCCATGCATGCATTCCATACATAGAAACGGAAACAGTTGCTATGGAGAAGACTACCTACTAAGACACTGGCTCTACTATCTCCTTCCAGCAAGATGGAGGCACATCCTGTTGGGGCCTGCTCAAATATCTTTCTGACTCACACGCCGATCTGACGAGGAAAGGAAGTGGATGGAATCCACCTGATCAACACATATAAAATAAATGTACCTTTACACTTTCCCTCTGCAGATACACCAGAACAAATCTGTCCATTGTCTATATCGCTTATCAGCTTCACAGGGGGCGAGAGTCAATCCCAGCATGCATTAGGCAAAATGCAGGTTCCAGTTTACAGGGTCTCCAACTAACTTAACGGAATGTGGGATGGAAAGCAGAACACATGAAGGAGAGATGGGGAGAACACACAAACTCCCCGTTTTAGGTTGGGTCAGAACACAGGACTGTCTTGTGATGAGCAACAGCCTATTCAGTGAGCCAAAGCGCTACCCATGAAAAGATTTCTCATTTATTTATCTACTGTTTGTATACTTAATTTGCATGCTTTCCCCATTTACTTACATTCTATTTTCTTCCCCACTGAGTTTACTGTAAAAGCTAAAAAGCAAGGGCATCTGGAGATAGCAAGGATGGGAAAACAAGAGAAAAATAATACATCTTCGCCATGAACCTGCTTTAAAGAGTTATAGTGAAGCATGTAACAGAGATTGATTTTGGTCAGCTGACCTCCACCATCCTGTTTGAAAGAAATATTGGCAGTCTATCCTGCACTGACTCAAAATAATAGCTACTGTGCCCCTACCATGTAGCAATCTGCCACTGGATCATTCTCGCCAAGGTCACAGAGTACATTATACAGACTGGAGTGAGGGAGGCAACGCAGGATGTCTGAACAAGGAACAAGGAGTTTCTTTATAAAGAGGCTGGAGGCGTAGATGAAACTTTCAAAATTAGTGATCTTCATTGTAGTGGGAGGACAAATGTGTGCACTCACACACAAGGATGGGACTGCACAAGGCATATGTGGAGACCGTCCTTGCAATCCCTAAATTACTTATGCTTACTGGCCCACACCGGCAAACACAGAAGCATGCTATTCCAACACACACATACACACACAACAACGACCCCGTCCCCACCTAAGCTGCCCCCCACGGTGTAAGGGGAGGAACAGATTTCTGCCATGCGGTGTCTCCGAGCTGCTTCGACAGACGGAGCAGGAACTTATGACGGGGTGGAGCCTTCATGCGCATAATGCCCAGATGGGCCCCTGGACGCTGCGGCACTGCTTCCTCCTATGCACTAACACCCAGCTCCCACAGCGCACTTTGTGGAAGCCTCAGTCAGAAGACAGGGACCAGGTTCAAACCGCACCATGCTTCTATCTCTGTCGAATACTCCTACGAGCCCTCCTGTCCCAAAATAGTCAAAAGAAAAGCTGAATGAAAGGATAGAACAGGCTGATATGAGAGGGAGAGGTTTGACTCTGTACTACACAACAAGTACTGCTGAAATTATAAATAGGAAGCAAAAGAAGGAGTATATCCTCACATGCACTGAAACCAATAAAAAAGCAAGTGAAACATCAGGGCGTCCAATACCAACGCTTTAAAAAAAAGTGACAAAACTTGGTTATTTGACACTAAAGGTATCCTTTAGGTATAGGTATCCTTTAGCATCTGTGTCTCATAGAAACGCTGCCGGAAGCGTCTCTATGAGATGCTCTGGGGCGTCCTGTACAGACCGGAAGTGCTAGTTAGCTAGCGGTAGCACGTTCGTGATAAAGGTTTTTACAGCCCCCGAACCACCTACCCTTACTATAACCATCAGAAATGTTAGTACCTAAACCTAAGTCACTGACTTTATGCATGTCGACCGTTGCTGCAATGTAGCAAACGGGGTGTTTCATACAGACACTGAAGGGTACCTTTAGCGTAAAATCCTTATGCTTTGTCATGCTGTCTGAAAACGTCAATTATGACGCATTAAGATGAGAATGCGTTGATGTCTCTGACAGTGTGAGAACTTCATCCATACAGACTTGTTTTAACCTGATTTCTTCATCAAGTATTTGAAACAATCCCACCACACGTCCCAAAAGGCTTTTGCTGCTGCTTCAGATTTTCTGGGTGTCTCAAAGATTTCATTACTGCCCAATAACTAAATCATAAAACACCAAATAGGCTAAAACGTGGCCATAACCCAAAGGGAGAAATCTCTGTGGATGAAACACATGAAAATGTTCTGCTAAGAATCAAAAAAGAGTATGATACCTAATTTAAAGTCCGGTAATACTATCAAATTTTAGTTGTAATAGTAACTTTTAATAGCACAAGGAATATAATAACTGCAAATCCAAATAAGTGCCTCAGAGTCAGTGTACCTAATCCACTGACTTTTCTACATAATGAGTCAAGTCAGCATAAAAGGTAGCTTTGCTTTGTGAACCTACAACAGGTTTGTTAATTCTAAAAAATTTTTTTGAAATAACAGAAATATCCTGTGTTTTTCATTTCAGACAGCACGAAATCATGCCTCTCACCCCTTGACATTTCCAACAGAGAGTTGTGTCAAGATAAATGCTGGCCAAAGGTTCTCAATTTTCACACATCAAGGACTCCCTAGTAAAAGACATTTTAAACACCAGACACACACTTGGAAAAAAGTTTCGACCCTTTTGTCAACTGTCTTTTCTGCAGAATGGAAAAACTAAACTTTGGTAAAATAGGCTATATAACCAGCTCAAATTCTAACAAACAGACCTACTCTTTGCTGAGGATGCAAAAGTAGATGCCTAAATTTTGCCATACAGTAGGGCTGAACAAAATATCTGTCTATCTATCAATTATCTATGATTTGCCATAATAGAATGGTCATTTTTTTTACATCATTATTCCCATTTTCATTGAAAAACAACAAGGCTAATTATGGCGTGATTTTTGAGAGTATTTGTACCAAACAAAGATGTTTTCTTAAGCCTGTAGAATATGAGTGTGGGTCAGGATGGGTCTGCGATTTGCAGTAGCCTATGTCATATTGGGATTTCTATAAAATTTCGATTAATTGTTCAGCCCTAGTTAGGCCTACCACATCCCGTAGGCCTAACATCCAACACACTCTTGGAAGAAAGTGCTGTAACAGTAGCCTACTGTCTAGCTGTCATTGTAATGTCTGTGGTAGGCCTATATCATATTTCCTTTCCTTTCCTTATCTGAAGGAAACGACATGAGGCAATTTTCTGTCGTTTTTATTTATTTATTTTTCTGTGGCACGTATCCTATTTCAAGCACATGGGGAAATTTGCAGTTTCAGCCCGTGCCAACTCCATGATGTTGGATACAACTTGTCAGCCTGTGTTATTTACCTGCCACGACCATTTTCTCCTCTCTTCCTTTCAGAGCGCGGTCTCTGCTTGGCAGCTCAGTCTTATGTGCCATTGAGTCCGCGGCAGCGATCAGCGACACAAAAACTAGAAGGAGGAAACAAGAATGAGTAAGACTATGTGTTATGTGTTTGGGAGAACACCTATGAAAATGGCAGAGTCTTCCGGGATGCCTCAATAACGCCACGCTGCTACATTTTCGGTGAGGACGGGAGAGGGAGGGAGGGACGGCGGCGAAAACGCCATCAATATGAATATTCATCGTGCGTGGGCAACGTCGTGCACAGCATATTAACTAATCAAGGGGTTAATATGACTTTGGCACAAAAGCCTACAGCGCACCGTGTGCGGGAACGAAATTAAATTTAAATAAATATCCAAGCCGTTCTGCATGCAAATGAGCTCGCGCCAATTATCAGCTCTCATTCTGTGGGAGGTGCTTCTGGTAGATCAAGTTGGAGTATGGATGTATGGTAGAGTAGCTCTCCTTTTGTGGTTCATTTTACATGCCTGTTCTGGGTTAATCCTGATGAGTAACAGCTTAAAGAGTCCACTGGTAATAGCCTACAAAGTGGCTCAAGCACTGCATGTATTATTCAAATGTTAAAAAAACTGTAAAAAGGCACAAACATTTATCAGGTTTGGAGAAGCTCTCTATTTTCTGGTGATGTTCAGGTTGGTTGGTTCGCATCTGTTGATGTAGCCAAAGTCATAAAACCTTCATCACTTTAATAAATAATATTATTTGTCTTCAAGATACCTGGTCAGTTGATGGTATTCTTAAGGCGACAACATTGAGGTAAAAAAACAAACAAACACACTACTGCATGCTTGCTGTAGTTTTACGCGGGAGAACATTGTCCTCAGGGCTTTGTGTCAGAAATCCTTTCTGCTTTTGCCAGAAAGCCTCACTTCTTGGTTAGGTTTAGGCACCAAAACTACTTTGTTATGTTTAGGAAAAAACAAAGGCAGAAAGCTCCGAAGACACCACCACATGCGCTGCAGTTTAGTCCTGCAGGAGGTTGCAGATTGTTGTCAAAAGTCTTCAAGCAAGTCATCAGTCACCTGGACAACCGTGCAAAACTGAATGTTGACGTCCAGAATGTGCATCAGTCATCCAAAGCTGGACATGATTAACATTCTGTTAAAATCAAAGACGTGTTGAGCTGAAATGATTAGTGATCGACTAATTAGTGATTAGTGATTCAGCAACAATTTGATCATATTTCAAGTAAAATTTCCAAACTTTCTCTGGTTCCACCTTCCTTAGTGTGATGATTTGCAGCATTTGTCTGTTTTATATCATTGTAAACTGAACATATCAAATAAAGGCAAAATGCCCCCAAAATAATATTTTTAAAAAAGGTATTTAGAGTCACTGGCATTTTTGTTCTTGCTCTGAACCAGCCATCATACCAGTTACAAAGAATCCAGGGCATTGTTCCTATATCCTGCAAGCCAGAATAACATCACACCCTGCTGCAATTCCCCTTTCCTCTTTCTCGTCCTCTCTCTTCCCCTTTCTCCCTCTCTCATCTGCCGGGGAAATGAAGCTCAATCACCTGCGGAGGAGCTGAGGGCGGCACAGGGGACTTTGCAATGCAAATGCCAGGTAATTACCCGAAAGCTAGAAGAGTGGAAGCACACAGATGAAAATAGAGCAGGAGAGAGAGAGAGAGAGAGAAGAGAGAGGAGAGAGAAAGAGATGAACTGAGCACTGGGTTCACATGCCTGTTGATGCAGGATGATTGGGGTGTTTTGGGGGGGGGTGGGGATGCAGGAAGAGGAGAGGGGAGGAGGGGGGAAAAAGGTGATGAGAACCCCATACAGAGAGCCCACAGTGTGTGTTAATTTCCTCCCTGTGCATGCTTCTGTGAGTGTATTCCTCTAACAAATGATCAATACATTTTGTATTTTCCTGAGTCTCTGCTGTATGCTGTGATGGAGGAAAGATCTACTTTTATTTCAGAAGAATATCTGCAGTGAATAAAACCAGTTTCTTGCATAAGTGCGGCAGCATTTTGAGTAGCGTGGTAGCGTAGTAGAAGTGTGTGTGTGTGTGTGTGTGTGTGTATGCTTTTTGAATGCAAGTGTTTTCACTTGGGTGCATGTAGGCATATCTGTTTAAGAGCTTGTGTGCACCATTGTGCGCGTGCTCTGTAATGGGCACTTGTGTATGTAGTGTATGTGCGTGCGTGTGGCGGGTGACTGCATATTTGTTTGTGTGTGTGATTTGTGTGTTGTAGCGGAGGATTTAGTGAGTATGCCAGCTTGCAGCTGTTTGATTGTCAGTGAGTGAGAGCGAAGAGATGTGCAGATGTGAGTGAGTATCAAAGAGATTATGAAATGACCTGGAATTAAACACTGCAGTAGATTTTAACCGGGTATGGTGGCATGTTAAGCTCGCTGTTTGATTGAGAAGTTTGTTTACCTTGTTTAGACAGTAAAATAAAATTTGATTTAATAAGCCAATATGCTCATTTGTAATTCAATACAGGACTCTAGCGTTTATTAGTTTGATTGTTTGTGTGTTTGTGGAAGATATTACCAAGCAATAGTGTGACTCACAAGCAGTTTGCACCTTGACTCTATAGCTACCTCTGATTAACATCTGCACAGAACAGGAGCCCAGCCAACCAGAAAACTGTTTTGGTGATTTAGTGTAATTGTGGCTTTGCTAAAGTCTCACTTTGCCTAATTAGAATAATAAATCATGCCGCCTCGTTGTTTTCAAAGGGCCCTCCATCGTCTCGCCGAAGCAGGTGGGATTGTGGGATGGTGTGAAAAACAAAGGCTTTGATTGCTCTGCTGAAACTACAGTCAGTTAAAAGCAACGTGGCACTCTCTGGGGATTCATATTCAAAACTAAGTCATATCAATTCATAGACCTGAGTGGGAAAAGCCAACTTGACAAATTTTGATTCATATGCTGGCCCATGCTCGACTTCACTTGACATAAATCACTTGGCTCATTGGAAAATGGAGAGAAGAGATGGGGGGTTGTTTGAATGACATGAAAGGCTGAGGGGAGACTGCATGGTAGTACCTTTCCAACATGGTTATTGTTTTCTCCAGGGAAGAAAATACACATTCTATGTAGGCCCTAATATGTTATATTGGGTGACCTTGCAATGTAACATCCTCTCTCTCCCCTTTCCCCTCATTTCAAATTGCCTTTACTGACATGAAGTACAAAATCAATGGCAATAAACATAATTGTAGTGATGAAGAAACACAAACAAAGCACCTAAAATAATGTCCAATATTAATAACAGTAGTGACAACTAGGACTGCAATTATTTTCATTATCTGTTAATATGTAAATTACCTTCTAGATTAATCAGTGAATTTTGACAATAAAATGTCAGGAAATAGTGGAAAAAGCACGGTGATGTCTTTAGTCTTGTTTTATGTGACAAACTGTCCAAAACTGTTTACGATCTTATACTAAGTATATCAACAAATTTGAGAAGTCGAAGTAATTGAACATTTGAGAAGCTCAAACTGATGATTTTGTTTGGCCTTTTTGCTTAAAAACTGACTTCTAGATCAAGCAATTATCAAAAAAGTTGCAGATTTATTTTCTGTCAATCAACCAATTGATTAATCGACTAATCGTTTAAGCACTAGTAAAATTGATATATGTCTTATCTTTAGATCATGGAAGAGTATACCATGTGCTAGCAAACCTTATAATATGGTGGATCAGAATGCTGATATATAATATATGTACACCTGCTCTCTTGTTCATAAATATTCTATCATGAAAGATGAATTTGAATGTCTGTAAACTGTGCTCTTTCAACTGTGAGAACTTTCCACGGTGAAGGAGGAAGTGCATCTCTGTCTCAACCTTTCCTGTTCAACATTGACTACAAACTGTATGCACTTCTGTTTACGCAGCCATGTCTTTCTGTGTATCCTTCTCGTTTGATGGTCACTGAGTCTAAACATTGTCGGGATTTGCCTCTGCTTCGGATTGTCTGCCAATTTGTAGTCTCTCATGAGAGCCGTGTAGCGTAAAGTTTTATTGTGAGTTTTGGATTTGTCATTTCAGTGGTTCAAATAATTAGATTTCATTTGTTCAGTAATTTCGGTTCTTTGTAAAATGTTTGTGGGGTATGCAGCAGTGCTTATTTTGTAAATCTTGAGAGCTCCAGCTCGGGTTTGTACAGCACTGCAGGGATTGTTAAGGACTAGATTTTAAGTTTAATAGCTCTTTTTCAATAGTGATCATGAGTGGGAAGAGAAGCTCTGCTCTACATGAATTTTTTGGGACTGGGAACCCTTACCTGCACCATTCTGACTCTGACCTTATATTGGATCTCTGTTGGATGTTTTTCCCTTTAATAAAATTTAATAAATTAATGAGTCCTAGACTTTAGCTGCATATACAGTTGTGTTGTGGGGGAAATTATACAGTCTTACCCAATTTTGTCTAATTTAGTCAAATGTCTTGCATTTTCTTTGGGAGCATTTGTTTTCAGACCAAATCTTTCCACAGAAATTCTGATGATGTTTTAAAACAGTAAGAGCAGGTAGACATATTTAGATAATGTACTTAGTTATGTAAAAGTAGCAATGCCAAATTTTTTTACTCTAATAAAAGTACAGAGGTATTGGCAACAAAATGTACTCGTTATGCAGATTTGCTAATGTCAGTGTTCTAGTATTATGTAATCGGATCATTATTATTGATGCAATGACATATAAGCAATAATTAGAAGTTGTAACTGCTTCATACACTGTTATATTGTATAAACTGATGATGTGTTTTGCATGTAAAATCCTATTCTGAAAAGTAACTAGTGACAATATAGTTGTCAAATGAATGCAGAGGAGTAAAAAGCTAAATATTTCCCTCTGAAATGTAGTGGAGTAGAAGTACAAATTCACATTTAAAGTCAAGTAAAATAAACATACCTCAGAATTGCACTTAAGTGCAAGTACACAGTTGTGTTCATTGAGTGTGTTTGTTGAATATACTACAGTCTCCTCTTATACTGCCTCTTTGACATAAATATTTAGTTTTTTGCACACAGTACTAGTTTTACAAACGTATACTACAGTGTGTTCCTCCTCACCCCAACCATTAAGTCATTTGTAAAATAATTCCTCAAATAATTTTCTCTTTTGCACATTAGTTGTTGCATTTTTAGACATTTCAGAGCGGAAGGTAGAACTTTAGATATCATTGTACGTTATATGC